CTGATGTTTATATTGTAAATCAATTTTAGTATTTCTAAATAAAATCTTTTGTTTGAAGTAATGTCTGCATATGGTACCTTGCTTATGTAAAAGTATTGACTGAATGGCTTCAAGTTATCACTGAATATATTGTGGTGGAAAGTACTTATAATAGCTAGACTGCAAACTCTCTAACCATGCCATCAATCCATCTGGCTATGATATGTATGAAGCCATGTATATAATTTGATATCTTGCCAGAGAAAGCAATGCTTATTTATTTCAGTCAAAATTATGGCTTGTTGAAGTAACGTCCACTTTCATTTGAGAACTTTTCAGTAGAAACAATCTTTTGATTTTTGTTCAGTACTGGTTTATGTTCCACAAACTTTGAGCATGAATAGTTATACGCATGGCTCAGTACTGGTTTACTCCAGGAACTTTGAGTAAAAAATGTTACATGCATTGCTTAGTACTGGTTGGCTCCAGGAAGCTTCAGCTAGAAACGTTACAGGCATGGCTCAGTACCGGTGGACTCCAGGAACATTGAGCAAGAAATGTAACATGCTATGCTCAGTATTGGTTGACTCCAGGAACATTGAGTTAGAATGGTTACATGCATTTTCAGTAGAAACAATCTTTTGATTTTTGTTCAGTACTGGTTTGCTCCAGGATACTTGAGCATAAGTAGCTACACAAATTGCTCAGTACTGGTTTACTACAGGAACTTTGAGTAAAAAAATGTTACACGCATTGCTTAGTACTGGTTTGCTTCAGGAAGCTTCAGCTAGAAATGTTACAGGCATGGCTCAGTACTCGGGGTTGCCAGCAGACTTGAAAAGTCAGGGAAATCTTATATTTTTTCAAGGTCAGGGAATTTTGAAAATTGGTCAGTGAAAAATGAATATCCTTAAAAGTCAGCGAAAAGTCTGGGGAAAAATAATATTTGTACCATGATGAGTTAAATTAGCATGATACACTAGGTGCATACAGCTACTTTCTGATAGAGAGTTCCCTAGATTTTTAGTATGACCTGTTGAAAATTGTCAATGGGATGAAGTTCAATTAATCTTTGCTTCTCAAGCTATTAAATTCCTATGTTTTGTCATATTTTTCACAACATAAAGAAACATGTTTTAGCATCCTCTCTGAAAGGTGTTTTGTGAAAAAATGGATATGTTGTTTGCTGGGCACATTTACAGACTGGTATATTTCTTTTACTCTGCATTGATGATAATCCTAGTGAATAGTATATAATACATACTATAGCTTCAGTTAAGATAATCACTGGCTTTTTTTAATATGTTGTTTAATAATTAAAGTTTTTATGTGTTTTGGGATATTTTGTTACCCTATCAATAGCTAAAACATACATTATTATTTAATTTTTGTCAATATTATTAGAAGTACTGGTTAAATCTTGTTACATTTGTATGCTAATTGTGCATAGTTTAATATTTTACTGAACACAAAACTACCAAAATTTGTTTAGATATATAAAGCATGTTTTATTGTTAAATAATGTAATACATACATGTACCATATTGTTAAAAGAATTGGGAAAAAAAAACAAAAACAAAAAAACAACTAATGGGTGGATTGGACGGCTGTAGGGGAGGTGGAGGCCGTTAAAGTTCAGTAGTTTTGGTCAGTGAAAAACCTAATTTGGTCAGGGAAAAGTCAGGGAATTTTATTTATTTATGGTGCTGGCAACCCTGTTAACTGGTTGACTCCAGGAACATTGAACAAGAAATGTTACATGCTATGCTCAGTACTGGTTGACTCCAGGAACATTGAGATAGAATCATTACACACATGGCTCAGTACTGGTTGACTCCAGGAACATTGAACAAGAAATGTTACATGCTATGCTCAGTACTGGTTGACTCCAGGAACATTGAGATAGAATCATTACACACATTGCTCAGTACTGGTTTGCTCCAGGAAGCTTCAGATAGAAATGTTACAGGCATTGCTGAGTACTGGTTGACTCCAGGAACTTTTGTAAATTAATTTTAGTGTTTCTACATAAAATCCTTTGTTTAAAGTAATGTCTGCATCTGCACCCTTGCCTATGTAAAAGTATTGACTGAATGGCTTCTAGTTATCACTGAATATATTATGGTGGAAAGTACTTATTATAGCTAGTCTGCAAACTCTCTTACCAAGCCATCAATCCATCTGGCTATGATATGTATGAAGCCATGTATATAATTTGATATCTTACCAGGTAAGGCAATGCTTATTCATTTTCAGTCAAAATCATGGCTTGTTATAGTAAGGTCTACTTTCATTTGAAAACTTTTCAGTAGAAACAATCTTTTGGCCAATTTGTGTTTGATAAAAATGAAGATCTTGTCCTTAAGAATGTTCTGTTATAATATGAAGTCGATCCATTCAATAATAGCAAAGTTACAGCCAAAAAAAGAAAATTTCAATAATTTGACCGTCAATGTCATTGATGAGTGAAGGTCAAGGTCTGTCTGGTTATTTTAAAGGGCTATCCTTGAAGATTATTATATTCAAGTTTGAAGACAATCCATTTAAAAATAAAGTTACAGCCAAAAATATGACAATTTCAGTAATTTGACCTTCAAAGTCAAGGTCATTTATGAGTGAATGTCAAGGTCTGTCTGGTTAATTTTTAAGGGATATCCTTGAAAATCATTATGTTCAAGTTTGAAGACAATCCATTCAAAAATTACAGCCAGTAATGGCAAGAACAAGCAAAATTTGGACTTTTGACATTGAAGGCCAAGGTCATTTATGAAGGTCAAGGTTAGTGTGGTCTACTGAAAGGTTTTGTCCAAAGGGTTGTTGTGGCCAAGTATGAAGACAATACACCAAGAACTAAAAAAGTTATGATCCAGGTACAAGTTTGCGCACGGCAACGCCGCCGGGACTATAACAATACCTCTACTTTTTTTTCTTTTTTTTTTTTTTTTTTTAAATCTAGCTAAAAATAGTAATTTAAGTAAGATATCAGCCTCAAACTGACCGGTAGGGGACTAATAATGGCGTACAAAAATTACCTATTATTTCCTTTAACCTTTTTCCTCATATAAGCGGGTTTTGACGGCTTTTCACCCCCCCCCCCCTTCTGAGGCCTCAAACATTGAAAAATGTCCTATTTAGGCCCCAAACACCGTTTTTCTTTTGAGACATGTTAAAAAAGTGACCACTTTTTCGGCGCCGTTCTGTACCCCCTTCTGTTTGGGGGGTTTGAAGGGGGCGGCAGTCCCCCTCATCGCCAAGAAAATTTTGGACTTTCGAGAGGCTAAAAATGACCCCAGGTCGATCCTAAGGTAACGTGTAGCCAACGCTGAAAAGCCTTTGACTCTATCTCAATCCATTGAGAAGATGCAGCACTTTGAAATCAGTTTTGATGGGAAAAACACAGAGGAGAATAGTGATTTTTGGCAAATTTGAAACGCCCCCTCGTTGCCATGGTAACAGGAAATTTAAGATTGAGCATGCTGTTACATAGGCTATGGTCCAGTCAACATTTGTGCCAAGTTTCATCAGTATTGAAGCATTTTTCATAGTTTCATAGCAGTTTGAACTTGTAACAGGAGGCTTTTCAATAAAACGGCCACTTTTCACAATATGCTCATCAGGGAAAAGGTTAAAGGGAATTTAATAGTTCCTGTACATCTCGTAATAATTAAACAATGTTGTTATATCAGTCCCATTTTTCATCTATAATCATTGAAGAAACAATTTTTTTGAGGAAAATAGATATGTCATTCAGGGACCATATGCCGCTTTGCATGGCATGCCACTCATGTGTCACATGTAAGATTCAATGATAACCGCCGTATGAACACATCATCAGATGGTTAAAAAAATTCAAAATTTAACCAGTTCATGTTACAATTCGTGTTTCAATCGTGCTTTGTCATGTTAAAATTTTTATACAATAGCGCATTAACTAATACTTTTTTCTTTTAAATTAGACTAACAAATATATAATTATTAAAATAAGAATTGAGCGAAAACGAAGGAAATATGATAATACCTCGAATTTTATACCAATTAACTACTAGGTTTATCAGCTATTTTCTCGACCATTTATCCTGTGATATATAACTTCTAATGCACGTTATAATTTCCAAAGTATATATTTTATCTCTTATTAACGTGTCAACCTTACTGTTACTTCTAATTTACGTTGACCAAATTTCTAAATAATTAGCCCTGTTCTTCTAATTACTTTCCAAATATTTTAACCACCTGTCTGTGATATGCAGGCTTCACAATGATCTTTCAAAATTCAATTTTATTTAATTTCGCCCATTGTTTTCTCATTTAGTGCACACGCATTTTTACTTGGGGACCATATGCCGCTTTGCATGGCATGACACTCATGTGTCACATGTAAGATTCAATGATAACCGCTGTATGAACACATCATCAGATGGTTAAAAAAATTCAAAATTTAACCAGTTCATGTTACATGTTGAATTCTGATTAAGCCGGTGCAAGGGGCGTGGGCGGTAACTTGCAGTTTCCAGTACCGTCCATTAACAGGCTCAATCAAAGCAAGTCTGCAACATTTTCAATTGTTGTCGGTAGGGAATAGGGACTCTTTTTCTCTCCATTTTAAGTGCTGCTTACACTGAGTAAATTACTTTCTTTGGTCACTTCACAGTATTTTACTTTTGAATACGTTTTCAAAATTGTCATAAAAAAACCCGTAAATTTGGAGGCATGCTGCTTTAAAGAAAGTGCGAAAAATCTCGAAATAACCTGCCTGTTATTTCTTACAAAAGTTTAAAAATTCTTATGAACCTGCCTGTTATTTCTAAGGTACGTGGGGAAAATGTCCAATGTGTCTGTTTGTTATTTCTAATGTACTTTCCAAAAATTCAAAAGAACCAACCTATTATTTTAATGTACGGACCAAAAACTTCTAAAGAATCTACCTGTTTCCTCTAATGTGAAAAAAGTGTTGTTCATTTCATCGGGTAGAGACAAACCGCACTTGAAAATTTAACGATAAATGGCTATGTAAACTAAAAAAAAAACACAAAACTTTATTGCTTTTGAAAGACAAAAATCTCTTTATTATATTTATTTAAACTTATTTTTTGAAGAATACATAGTAGCCAATGCATGATACAAATGTGATTCCAGCGGCGACTACTGCCACACCTTTGCCACTGATGTTGAAAACTTGTCCAGAGTGATGTAAAGATTTGTCGCCATTCTTTATCTCGGCATCCTCCTCGGGAACTATATTTGTTGGGGATAGTGCGGATTTTGTCTCCATGTGTCCAGGCATAGTGTCACAGGCTGAAAGTAAAACAACGCATTCTTTATTCAACCATGCTCAAGATACGGCACATGCCTATTTTTCTTTTATTTTTCATTTTATTTGTTTATCAAACTTATTTTTAATCTGAATAAAAGCCGGCCATTTCCTTATAAAATCAACCAAGAGAAGTCATATTAACCCGATACTAAAAGGAATGTGGTTCGGTGCGGATGTGTGGAAATAGCGAATGAGGGTCATATTATAAGTCACAATTATGAAAATATATTCGTGTTTCTGAAATAGCCAGGGGGATACAATAATTATTCGAATGATCTTTAAAGTTAAAAGGTTTGTGTGAATTAATTCATAAAAAGGATAATATTGTAAAAGGCATTTTTTACCATTCGTGCCAGCTGCGATGACTTCTGTGTGTGTGTTTGGTACATCAGTCTCGGACAGGCTGTTATCAGGTGCGTTTGTTGCATCACTCTCGGACAGGCTGTTTTCAGGTGCATTTGTGACAGCCGTGTCAGACAGGGTGTTATTAGGTGTGTTTGTTGCATCAGTCTGCAACAGGATGTTATCAGGTGCGTTCTGCAAAGATGTCATCTCCTTACAATCTTCCCTCATGTCGACCCCTTTAGGAGAATCCGAGTTCTTATCTGAAAATAAATTTAATATTGTGATACATTAGTGTGTTCAGTATGTCTTACAATATTGTAATATGATAATTCTTGAAAAGACTGGGAATTGGTATATTATAGGATTATTTATTTGATGATTTCAAACCATTTCATAGAAGTTTTCATTACAACATGTTACAAATAGTTTGACTATGTGCTGTAAATATGTTGCCAACTTCTGCTTGTGATGCTATTATGTTATTCTGAGATAAAATGCATTAAAGAGAATCTGGTTCTTTTTGCGGACCATTGGTCAGATTTGAACATTGATTGATTAGTTAAAAGAAAGATCAGTAAATTTTTGGTATTTGATAAGGCAATGCATTCACTTAATTTAGATTTGTGATGTAGAAATTATCAGAAAAAACCATTTCATATCTTAATAAAATGTTGTCTAAGAAATAAAAATACCTTTGCTGGTTGCCGTCTTGATAATATCAGCTTCCCTCAGGTGTTCTGTAATACATTTCTGAGAATGAAGCGTCTCTAGCACAGCTGTTGACCCATTACAATGACCCTGTGTGTCACTTTCTGTTTGCCAGTGTAATGCCTTGTCTGAAAATAAGTTTAGAATTGTGCTCTATATGAGAAAATTAAGCATTCATATAAGTACTAATGCTATACCTTAGCTCTACAATATTAGTAAATATCAGATGTCAATTATTTGTTAACGTCAATAAATTTTATAAATTAACTTGAATAAAATGTCCTTACAAATACCTTTAATGTTTGCTGTTACGGTATGGCCATCTTTTATCACTGGTTCCGTTACATTTTCCTGCAGGACAATACATCCCGGGGTATCTTTCAATTCTTTCAGTGTGTCAGTTCCTCTCTGAAAACGTCTATCTATATCTGAAAGTTGATTGTTGGAATAGGATATATAGTATTATGTTAGACTTGTATTTCTAGGAATAAGTAATGTTATGCATTGATAAAACAGATTGTCCATTCGAAGTTTATTTCTGGGAAATATCTTGTCTTGTTCTTTATCAATATTTAACTATATTCTTTAGATTTCATTAAAAAGATGGTACATGTATGATTTATAAATATTTAGAAAAGACAGACAATTATACGTGAAAAAAAATCTGATTCAATTTCATAACAAAAACATTACCTATAGTTTTTGTAGCTATAATATCATCAGATTGAGGCATTCTCCTGGCATTTTGGGGCATTCGTTTTCCAGCTGTCTTTTGCAAATTTTCTGCTTTGTTGTGGTTTTTTGACATTTTAGCTTCTTTTCGATCAAATATGTATGCATCTGAATTTTTTTTTAAAAATATTGAAATAAAAATGTTCTATTTATACACTTGACATTGAGGTAAGTACAAATAAATTCAATATCTCTGAAAGGTACTTGAAACAAATGTTTTTCGAAAAAGAAAATACAGTTAGCATTTTCAGATGGATAAGAAATATATATATCAGTTTCTGTACTTGTTATAGGGTTTGTAAGCGAACAGCATGGATCCTGATCAGACTGCACGGATGCGCAGGCTGGTCTGGATCCATGCTGGTCGCAAACGCACTATGTTGGTTTTGTCATGACGCGGCCCATATATGTCTACAAATGTGAACGAATATGATTCAAAGACTGTTAAAATAGAGAAAATAAGAATCCCCAAAGTCGAGTTTACCAATCTAGAGTTCACATAATACGTTTAACTTTTATCATACTTAATGAATATTTTTATATCTCTTTGTATAATAAAATTACTGCTGTAAACACATTTTAAGAAACCGTGGTCCTTTTGAAATCATTGCTATAGACTTCAATCGTTTTGAAAAAAAAAGTTCTATATCTTACCATCTGGTTTCTTGACAGTTGGTTTACTCTTATATCGTAAATTTCCTTTGTTGTCCTTTTGTCTTGAGAAACTCTTTTCTTTAAGAACAACACGACTCTTTTTATCAGACTGTGGATAACATGGAGGATGTGACTGGTTAGAGGTATCTTTTCTCCCTGTAACTGATGATGAACGACTGTTTCTATTGTCCACTAAAACATAATACATCTAACCTGTATTTGCATCGTTTTAGATAAACCCCACAAGAAATCTTTTTATTGGAACTGTAAAATGGAAATGACTTTACAGAAACACATTGTTATTACTAGTTTGAAAAATGTATACCATAAAATTCATTTCTACAACATATGCAATAATTGAGATTAGCAGAAAATTACCTTCTTTTCCATCAAATGCCTTTTCATTATACGTGTGTTCAACAATGATGGGCTTTTGTCCGACATAAATTGTGTGTGATTGTATAGACTCTATGTCAGTCACATCTCCCGTGCAGGCTCGAACCACCAGAAACTTGTACTGTACAGTACTGTTCTTTGGCAACCTAATGGACAAAGTATTATAAAAAAATCATTATAGCTTTACTATAAAAAAAGATTGCACCAAACAAAGCAAAAATGCCTAAAAACAAACGAAAAATGCTTGAGTTAGAAATTAACCTTTGGCTAAATTTTTGCTGATTTAGAATAATGTTAATTTACCATATATCTTTACACCAGAAGTTACGTCCAACCTGGTTACATCTTGGTGCCGTCTTGGCATTGTAATTTCCGAGTTGAATACCTGACCCCACCACAGCAACAAAATAGTCATTGGCTCCGCCTGGATAGCAGTCGAGAGATTTGAATACTTTGAGCTGCACTTTAACTCTGTCATTTATTTGTGATGTCATCTGAAAAATGAAATCTAATGTGTCAAATGAAATTGAAATCATGAAGTTGAAAAAAAATGAATTAATAAAGTTGAGTTTAATGAAGTTGAAATCGTGAATTCGTGAATTTGAAATCGTGTTTTTGTGAAGCTGAAATCAACAATTCACGAAGCTGAAATCGTGAAGTTCAAAACTTGAATTCGCGAAGTTGAAGACATTAACTTGATAACATTCAATATACGATACAAACTGTAACATGATTGCATGAAATGAATGATACAAACTGTAACATGATGACATTCAATGAATGATACAAAACTGTAACATGATTGCATGAAATGAATGATACAAACTGTAACATGATGACATTTAATGAATGTTACAAACTGTAACATGATGACATTCACTGAATGATTTACAATGTAACATGATTGCATGAAATGAATGGAACCACTTTTGACATGATTTCATCAATGAATTATACTCACTTTAACATGATTGCATCAAACAAAAGATAAAAACTTTGACATGATTCTGTCAAATAAATAATACTCACTCACTCTAACATGATTGCATCAAATAAATGGTACTGCAACATAATCTTCGCCGATTGTTTTTTTTTATCTAATTTTCATGCCATTCTATAATTTCTAAATGTATGAACTGCAGACTATTTATACAGCATTTTAATTGTTTAAAGTTTAACAAATAAAATGTTTTATTATTTAATAATCATACACATGATTTTTAAAGTTTCTTACCTATTCTTTTTATAGATTTGATGAAATACTGGAATAAGGTCACTACTAAAATATTCAGCTATCGCCTTTCTGTTATGATTCCAGCAACTAACGTATGTTATATGGAAACGACGTGACGCCATTGACGTCATAGAACTATGACGTTTTAATTGCGTCCACTATAACAACACGTCATTTTCGGTATATTTGCCTTAAAAAAACACTATTGGACTATAACAATGATAAAAATAATAATAATAATAAATACTTTATTTAATGAGAGCACTCATTTGAACAAACATATCAATCTTCCATGAGGCTCTCAACAAGGAGCAATATAAATTTAACATATTCAAACTATTAAAATACATAAATTTAAATACATACAGGAGATTATCAATTTCTATACATCAATGTGTGATAATATCTCAAGTATAAGGTTTTAAAATGGTTCACAGATGTAGCAGACTAAAAATAATCAGGAAGACCGTCCAGAATAAACAAAAGACTTACGAAATTGTTCAGTATTTGGTCTAGGGGTATAAAGTTGAAAATCAGATGATGAACGCAAAATGCGAGTATGAACATCTGACGATAAAATGAAATTATTCAATAAATAAGAAGGCGCGTGATTATTCATTATTTTAAACATCATAATAGCTTTTTGAAAAACAACCCTCTGTGAAAAGGTCATCCAGCGGAGTTCAGAAAAAAGTTCAGCAGATGGAGTGTCATAATCTTTGTCTAGAATTAGTCTTGCAGCTTTCAAGACTAAATAAAATAATCCTTAGTACGATTTTTTAAAAATAAATGTTAGCTTTTTTAGATAAAGTTAGATCAATTCATAAATTTACAGTAGTCGTATGTCGTAGCGGTTAACCAATACTAACTTAAAGTCGCATCCATATACAGTACTGAACAGTGAACAGACGACATATTTTCATAAGTATAAACTCGGGCATTGGTATATCTTTGCCACAGCTCTATATTCATTGATATTGATACCCTGGTTATATGGTGGACTCTATATTGTAAAAACATGAGGACTCCGTAATTTTATTTGAAAGGGACTCCACGGAGGTTTTTTTTCACATGACGGAATTGGACAGATATAGTTTGTATCTTTGACATATCTTTCTGTTATATAAGTGCCGAAGCTGAGCTGTGTAAGAAATAGAGGATATTGAATGAGTGTAAGTTCAATACTAAATTTATTGCACGAGTTGAATAAAATTATATTATGCGAGCTTGTGGCGAGCATAATATCATTTTATTCAACGAGTGCAATAAATTCAGTTATGAACTTACACGAATTTAATATTCTATTTATCACATACCAAAAATAAAGACCGTTTAAAGTGAAATAAAAGTCTTTTTTCATTAACGCGCCTATAGTATAACGCTTACATTTAGCGCGTCTTTACACTATGTTTGTATAACGCTTATGACGTCACGCGGCCGTGCAATACCACATTAATTACGGAGTCGCAAAATCGGCACGGGTGTGTGATAAATTCAAATTTTATCATTTCTATGGCATGTTAAACGTTGCAATATTCGATAAATTAAATTTTTGTTCTATATCCAATATTTATATTGTATAACTCTAATTTTATATTCTTTACCATAATATTAATTCAATCCTGCTGAATATTTGTTCATCATAAAAAATATTTGTGTGCGATAATTTTCTATGTATATGTTCTATATTTGAAAATATATATATACCTTTTTACAATACGATTCTTCCATAGCAACCAATGTTGCATTTCGCGCATGCGCATTCTGCGTAGGGCAAAAGCTCAATAAAATTGACAACAGTGTATGATACTTTAAGGCTTTAATAGTCGTGATTCCATGTTATATTTACCAGAAAACAGTAATTTTGGGATGACTTAAAGCGGTAAGTACTTAAAACGTCAATTGATATTTATAACAGATATAATAAATATGCAGGACTAATAATCCAATGGTCAAAAGGCGCATACAAAAGACGTCTGTTTAATGTATCATTAGACGACTTTTTCATCCGTAATTTAAAATTTAAACAGCATGGTGTTAAAGATTAAATTTTATTACCCCTGTATTACATAATATTACACATTATCACATTATCCGCGGCGCAGGAGTTTAATAAAGCCATTTAATAAAAACGATATTACACTAGTGTAATAACACTTTGACGTGACGTCATTTGCGCTATATATAAACGTAGCGTTAAAGCGCGCTAATGTTAGCGTTACACTATAGGCGCGTCATTGAAAAATTACTCATTTTAACAGTTTCCTGTTCTTATTTTATATATGTGATAAAAAGAATATTATATTCGTGTAGATTCAATACTAAATTTATTGAACGAGTTGAATAACAATATTATGCTCGCACATATAGAGGATATTGAATGAGTGTAGTTTAATACTAAACTTATTGAACGAGTTGAATAAAACAATATTATGCTCGCCAGAGGCTCGCATAATATGATTTTATTCAACTCGTTCAATAAATTTAGTATTAAACTACACTCTTTAAATATCCTCTATATGTGTATTGTACACTTCCTTTGGATTTGCCAGGTGGTAAGTGTCAAACAGATTGACACGCGACCGTGATGCTTTGTTTCCAGCTAGATATTGTATAAATATCATTCAACCATGGGTGGGGTTTAGAACCATGACATTTTTAATCACGTACAATTATGAAAATCATACTTTAAGTAACTTTTATATATACCGATCTCATCAATGTTTATTGATTAGTGAAGTGACAATTAGTGTGACTTGCATTAAAACATATTAACATGTGTAACGAGGAACCGGATAAAATGAGTGTTATTTCACTTTCCTTAAAGATTTTGAAAAAAAATAACTATTTAAAATATATTTATGTGACTTAAAAATTATCTGTTTTGCATCACAGTCAAATAAAGGATAAAATCAGGTAAACTGAACACTAAAAATGCATTATCACCGGGCCTGTTCTGACTATTTTCAGAATGCTAATTAACCTCGATTTCATATGTTATAAAATTTCTTTTATCTTTTTTATGAACTATTTCAACAACAATTTAGTTGACTCCCATTTGAATAAAAGATATAATTCCACATTTTCTTAAAAAAAATCTCAATGTTAGGTCCGTGACCGTAAGCGGGTCCACCGTAAGGGGGAATTCTTAAACAATTTCCTTTTCCATGCCTTTTTTATGGCAATCTTGGCAACAAAGCTATAAAGGAATCTTTTCTATCTTTGTTTAAAGCTATTCTATATAATTTTCTACCTTTTACCTTAAACTTACTCGGAATTGTTTCGGAACTTCTTCTATATGTCTATGTTAAACTATCCATTTTTTGCCCTACGCAGTTTGCGCATGTGCGGGGAAATACTACTTCCGGTCGATTTTTCATGTCGTAAAAAGGTCTTCGTGATTATATTACTACGCATTTGAACTCAAACCGTGCATTTTCCACAACAATTCACTCAGAATTGATATCTATTTCCTAAACAAACCCTTATTGAAACGTGTATTGAGATTTGGCTCTCTAAGTTCCATATGTGCTAAAGAGATCCATAGGTGATATGATATAGAAAACCATCTACAAAACTATGGATCACTTTATAATCATATGTAATTACTTTTGACCACCCCAAACTCTATTTTCTGGTTGGGTTTAATGGTATAAAAATATGTTTTGTTCTAATATCATTTTATTTAATGTTAGAACAATCTAGATGCTGATAAATACGTCTTAATCACAGTTAGATTCAGCATTATTTCACGTCCGTGTTCAATAAGTATCAAGATCAAGGTAAAAATTTATACATGATAAACACATAAGTTTTATGTTTAACGCACTTCAAATGACTTTATAAAATTTTCTTGATTTGTACGAAATGTGGTTGAAAGAGATAATCAAAATTTATTTTTACTTACTTTTATTCAAACAAGAGTCAATATGTATAGTATTGTAATTTTCAATAAATAATTATAGTAACGGTTTTATGCAAAACAACAGTTTTTAGAATTTAAACTACAATGTACTTTTTGCGTTATCACGGGATCAAGTTTTGGTGTTACACTTGCCAAAGTTTAAGTCTATTTGTTGTCATAGCAACCACGATTTTCAACAGAAGAAAAAAAGTGTATAATCTCCAGACTGCCATCTACCCATATTTCAAGTTTCACAAAAATAATTTCGGTACTTTTTGTTTTATCGCAGGATCCAGTTTTATCGGCGGAGGGGCAGACGGACGGACGGAGGGTTATCCTAGTCAACTCCTAGTCAACTAAAAATAACTGAAGGACGATGGACGCCGGACAAATTGTGATCACTTAAAGCTCACTTTGTGTTCAGATGAACTAAAAAGTCTCAGAAACAAAATAAATTCAACTGTCTCGCACAGAGGATTTTTATTATATAAAAGGTGAAGGTACTTTTATCATATTAATATGAGTACATTGAAACTAGTTGAGGTGTCCCAAAAACTTCTACTGTTAATCTGTGAGTGAATTGTTATGATAGACCGCCGACTAAAGTTTGATTTTATATTTATGATTTTTCCCTTTATTTTCCGTTGACTGAATGTGGTCGCATTCTCTGTCTAGCCTGTAGAGCTTGTATCCGGCTTGAATGCGGTCTTTTGGGCACAGGTGGTACGTTTCGGTGCCTCCTTGTATTACTGGTCGCTGGTGGTTTCGGACTAGATCCCTGGCAGCAAAGACTTACAACAATACACATAAAAAACACAGATAGTCCAATAACTATCCATGCGATCATCGCTGGCTGGTTTGTACCGAAATAATGTTTCGTGGCAATTCTCAAACCATTATTGAAAGGGCCCCATACGTAACGCCAAAGTACAAAAGGAAAAGACAGTTTCATCAGAATATCGGCAATATTCCTTATAAATCTGATCTCGAGAAGATTTAGATATTTGATGGTTTTTATCCGACTGACCAATGTGAGGTATATGTAGGAAAGAAGAAAACAACCTGCCGCAGCTGTAGTCACCTGAAATAAAATAACAAAGAATCCACTTTAAGTTAACTTATTTTGTCTGTTTTTATTTTTTTTCAGAAATTAAAGGATTTTGTATTAATTTAGTCGACTATACTGCTTGTTTTGGGACTGGCGATCGTCTAATAACCATATTTTCTAAAACCCGTTGTCGTGTTGTCGTTACCGAAGAAACCTTCCGGAAACCTGAGATCATCCGAGTCAGCATAATACACATTTGCAAATAGTTCCCTACTTTTGCATACACGTTTACCTATCCAATTTGAATCAAGTGAGTAGCGCCTTATAGAGGTTATTCAATAATTAAGTATCTATATATGAAGAAAATAGGAAAAGACTTCTATAAGCATTGTATGCTTTCGGATCTGATAGTCGAGCTAAAAATGCGACCGTAAAAAATGAAAAATTTAATGCGAACTAATATAAATATGAGTATAAACAATGTATAGATGAGTTGATAAAAAACTAGCCTTTATAATTTTTTTAAACAAGTTCAACAAAAAATATTTAAATACATCTGCTTACGAAATCGTTAACAACTAATTTGCCAGCTTATTTTTAAGAAAATAAAGTTACTTTTTTTATCGCGAAACTTAACAAATTGATAGCCACGTATATGAATATCAAATAAAATTCATATGTGTAATAGGTGAGCATTTTATGCGTTTTCTAGCAATGTTTTACTTCACTAAATCCAATCTCCACGCAGTGATCTCCCCTTAATTCTTTGGCGTAGATCTCTGCCACCACGGTCCGATATATCAGAATTTCTGATATACTGTTTTTTTTATTTGTTTGGCTCGTCAGACCAAACAAATAATGGTAGCGAAATTTCATAGCCTAATGCTGTTAATTGCAAATGCCTAAAGTAGTCCACTTTTTTAAGCGGTTGCTTCCCTTTATATGTACACTAACGCCGAAAAATTCAGGGGAGATCAATGCGTAAAGATTGTCAAATGACAGGCGCAATAATTTTCAAGCAAAGAAGTTCCCGAATGGTCGAAGATTTATAATATTGTTTCATTCTTTATAGATATACTACTTACAGTATGCTCACATGTTCAAAATAAGAAATGTTAACGGCAAAAAGAATCGCTCTTTAACTTTACAGTACGCTATGTTTGTATAGCGCAAATGACGTTAAGTCAAAATATATGCACAGCTGTGCAATACCATTTTTCTACGGAATCGCAAAAGCAGCACAATTATGTGATAAATATTAAATATTTACTACACGCCTGCAGACGTGACTTGAAAAAGACGTCAGGAATTAATTGAAATTTTCTGAAGCATCTTAATGGCTAACATATATTTCTGGTCTCATTTTACTTGGAGAGTAAAGAGCGAATATTTCTGAACAGGGAACAAAGCCTCAAATGTAACTGATTATCATTTACTATAGAATAAAGAAAGCGAGTGCTTCGTGTGATTGTTAGTGACATATTTGTTTAGAAAGGATTTTATCATTTTTCATCGTATTTGTTAAATAAAGTCATAACTCAAGAGATTTATTCTATTGTTAACATACAAGTATAACCGTGAACCAATGTTTTAAAACTTTTAATCCTTAAAATAATCCATAAGAATCTAAATTTTAAAGGGATTTAATTCATTGTGTACGAGAAAGAAACAGTGTATTTAAAAGACTACCTTCATTTTTACAGGTTTAAATAAATCTTCTCTGAATTATACATTTTAGTATAAATTTTTTATACAGTATTTCTTTCTTTTCAAATTTTTAGATAGAGAGGGCGAGAGAGAGGGAGAGAGTTATATGTTCATTTAGCTCACTAAAATCGTCATAACCTACCTGCAATTGAAGGACATTACTCCACCATTCTGATGAGAATAAAAACAATGTCCATAGGTAAATGCAAAAGAACCACGGTCCGCCAAGTGATCCAATATATTGACCAATCTCTTTAGCGATGACAGAAAATGCCATGTTAAGTACGCTAAAACGGAAAAGAAAGTCTAACATTTTCGCTCTTTTAAGTTCCGTTTGTTTATTTACATAAATGACGTCATTAACATCTAAAGAAGTACAAAATTGCTTCCCTTTGCGCGCCGAAATGTCAAATTACAGACTGGTTGAGATATTTGTATGCGGTGTTGCTTTTTCATTCAGAATGAATAGGAACCAGGCTTTTGTGTACATAACGCCACCTATGATGAATAATAATGGTGGACAAAATAAAAAATTACTGACTTTTTCCTGACAAAAGTGAAATTACATACAAGAATAAGAAAAATTTAAGCTGATATATGAAGAGTTCAATAAAGAAAAGATAGTAAATATGCCGGCTGCAACTATAACAATGAATGAAGGTGATGTGGTGAAGCTTATCTCGGAATTCTTACAAAATCGTGATTTGAACATTTCCATGCTGTCTTTGGAAAGAGAGACCGGTGTTATAAATGGACATTTTTCAGATGACATGTTGTTTCTTCGACAGTTAATTCTTGATGGACAGTGGGATGATGTTATAGAATTTATTCTACCGTTAGAAACGATCGAAGGTTTTGATGGCAAAAAAGTTAAATATCTTGTCACAAAACACAAATATCTAGAGCTTCTTTGTATTAAGTCAGAACCAAATGTGTTACAAAACTATGACTTTACTGTTGATGAAGTAGTTAAAACCCTCAACAGCCTTGAAAACCTTTGTCCAACTAAGGAAGATTATAGTAATTTGTGTTTACTTTTAACTTTACCAAAATTGTCTGACCATGCAGACTATCATGACTGGAATCCCAGTAATGCAAGGGTAGAGTGCTTCCGCAGTGCTTACCTTCTTTTGGAAAAATTTATGCCAGTTGACAAGACTGAAAATAAACTGTCAATGTCACAGAATGACAGACTACTTCAGTTACTTTTGAAAGGTTTGTTGTTTGAGTCGTGCATTGAATATTGCCAGCAACAAGCTACTAAAGAAGGCAGTGGTGAAATTGAGGTGAAGGATGTGTCATTGTTACAGGATAATGGTTTCAGTGATGCTGACCTGAGTTTGTTGTCATGGTTACAAAGTGTTGCGCCAGAAGTATTTTCTATTCCATTTGAACAAAAGAACTTAAATCTTGACATACGACCGCTAATGAAACCTTCCCTTGAAGCTTCATGGTCAGAACAAATACTTGTCACACCAATAAAACCAAAGATGTTCCCACATTCTGCTGTTCCAAACATGCGTCCTAGGTCTGCTGATATCATGTCAAGGTCATTAAATCCCCAGTTTGATGGGTTGACTAGCGGATTGTGGCAAGGGAGAAATGTCATGACATCATCATTAAATGCAAGAAACATTTTATCTCAGTCAGTTGTACCTGGAAGCTTGATGTCACAAAGTTTGAGAAAAAATCCAATGGAAATGTCAATATGTAAATTATTTGCAGAAGGTGATAAACTTGACACAGAAGCAGCTGTCGGTGAAAAACTTGAACCTAAAAAGGTAGAAATTGAGCCCCCAAGTCAGCCTGTCCAGAGACCTACACAAATACAAAATATTCAATCCACAGATCAACCAAATAGATGTAATACGCCACCAAGGATGTCTACAAGCTTCCACAATAAAGCACCAACAAACTCTGTCAGATTGCAACAGTCACAGCCATTTCAGCCACAACGTTCGCAGTCACCTTCACACAGTATCACAGTTGATAATCGTTCAAGTGTCGACAAAAATTCAGAGACTCAAGGAAGTCAAAATGGATCAGTGACAGTCAGAGATTCAAGTTCTGAGCTTTATAAAGAATACCAGAAACAAAGACAGTTACTTCAGCAAAAATTAGAAGAGCAAGAAAAGCAACGCGAGCTGTTTACAAAAGAACTGAAAGAATTAGAAAAAAGGGAAATGAGCCTGGAGGATAACAAACTGAGGGAGACTGGAACGCCAAGAAGTGCTGTAGAGGTCAAGCAAAGAAGAGTTGCTCAAGGTAATAACCTCCTAATCCTTATGCATATGTATAAAATACATTATAACATTATACAGTGCTATATATCCAATTCAATACATCGTAATGATTGTCATTTAGAAATTTTGTTTGGACTACATTTAAGCAACTATTTACTGAAATTGGTCGCAATAGGAGAGATGTGCAGAATGCAACATGTTTTGTTTCAATGTTATTTTCACAGGGTTATGCCCTTGTAATGATTTTTCTCCATTATTCATTTTTCTTATTACTATTTCGCAGCAACCACTGACTGGACTTCCAAAAACTTAATTAGAACGAATCTAAATATAGAAAGATTGAAGTACCTGTGCATAGAAATTTTCATTTTTAAGAAAAAGAAATCACAATTTGGCATTTTTTCCCCTTGATATTCATGTTACTGGACCAATTTACAATTTAGTGGAAAATATCCGTGTTTAGGTAAATATCCAATGGTTCAACTTTATGAGCTTCATTCTGTCAATAATCTTAGTTGAAAAAAAGAGAAGTATCATTAAATCTGTTAAAGTGGTAATTCTCACTGTTTTTTGTGAAAAGGTCAGTAAACCTAAAATGTTGGAACAAACATGTATATTTTGTTATAAACTTTTCCCATTCATGACTTGAAGAAGGAGTTTGATGAAAACTTAACTCGGTGATAGACAGCAGTGAAATGAAGTGAAGTGTCCAAAAACTGTATTTTCTACCTTGCCTATTTTTTTGAATAGTTTCCCTATCTGATAATTATAACCTAATAATGCTTCTCTAAACTATCAATTATATCTCATTAAAACATCACACATTTATTAAGATTAGATATGAAATGGAAAAAAATTTGCAATAACATTGAATCAATTCTGTATAAAGTTCAAACCTGAAAGTTGATTTTCAAGAGTCAGTAAAATTTCTTTGGTCTGTTTGCATACATGTAAGTGAAAGTCTGAAACACGCTTCAATAATGAAATGAGTAATTTATTTGAATATGCAAAGACTAAATTTATTTAAAGGTCTCTGACCAAGAATAGCCATAATTTTCTGATTTTAATAGATTCATATTACAGACCTGCAACAATATGTTCAGATGCACCAAAAACCGAATCAAAAAATCGAATCGAATTGAACATTTGGTAATTCATATGCATTGATTACAATAAACATGATAAAACATGTTTTAAGATGTCTTAATATAAAGAAAACTTAATTAAGAAAGTTTTTTTTTTAGTAAAGCGATCATTTATTTGCGCTGCTATTCTAACTGATGACATATGAATACATGTATGCCTACCTTACCATGTTCACCTATATATCAGTCATTCAATTGTAAAACATTCCCTGCCATTACATCAAAATATGGAAGTGTCAGCTATGGTCATTGTGTTATTAAGTGTGATTTTGGAAGTTTCAAAGCTGAAGAGCTTCATCCAAAGTTTTATAATTTATTAATTGCTAAATATCAACAATTTTAGCAGTTGTCAGAAGAATAGTATATGTCATGAATTTATCAACAACAATTAGAATAGAAAATTAATAATTGTTTTTGTAAGCTCTTAAGACTTTGTACTTTTTGAAAAACTATAGTTGTTGTCAAATGTTTTTCGTTTTGTGTTGTTCATTTATGTTTTGTTCAGGCCACTAAAACAGTTCTGTTTCCAGTCTACCTACCCTCTTAATTAACTGCTTCCCCTAGACTTTTTCAAAATCCTTTATTTACAATATATTATTACATAAATTATATATGAAACCCTCTTTTGTTGTGAGGGGAGGGTGTTCAAAGACCAGAAACAGAATTTTTTCTTTTGCCTCATTTGTTCCTGTATCTTAATTGATTTATCATTCACTAGATGTTGTTACAAGTACTCCGAAACAGGATGATTTGCGTGCAAGCCCACCTAGTACAGACCCAGAAACCAGTCCTGATATTGGTGTCTCTTATGAAGAGGGAGAAAAAGATTTTGAAGAGTCAAAGTGTGGTTCCCCTCTCAATATAGCTCAGCATAGACTGAAGCCAAAACTCCAGGAACTAGAGTTTACTCCTATCATGACTCCTTCAGAATTAGATAGAGCTGGGATGTACATGGAGCCACCAAGTTTCTTAGATAACAACACTACAGAGAACTTTTCTGTATCTGATATAGACAATAATAACCGACCAATTCCTGTCCTTGATCTTGACAAGAATGTAGACAGTGAAGTCCAAACCATTGATGTCATAAATGATGAAAAAAGCCCTTCATTTGTAGGCTCACCAGTGAAAGGTAATCATGTTAAATCTAACAGTTTGGCTGATTTCACTTGCACATTTTACCTAAAGATTGCCGAAACGCACTTCAATGCTCTCTGCATTGCTGTTTGAAGAACAACAATTGAAAGAAATGTAAAATTATTGTTATTGATCATGCTTTATTATTTGAGTTTTATATCGGAAAAAAGTGCTGATTATGCTTTAAGTTAAAGTAATCATTAATGAATTGTTTAAATTTAAATGCTTTACAAGAAAATCTTTTTATTTAAGGTCAAGAAATTTAGTTTTAGTTCTTTTTTTTGCACAAAATATTTTTTTTTACTTCTAACTTTTATTCAAATTCATCATCCCTAGCAACTCTTGGCATTATGTTTGCTTGCACATCTTTTATGGCTCTTGTGATAAATTAAATACAGCTGCAAAGAAAGTTGACAAAAATGTCAGGAAAAGTAAACCAGCCAATACCAGTTCCACAAAAACCACCTCAAAGGATATTGGAAGCAAAAGACCATTAAGTAGGTCACAGTCCACAAGAAATGGGACAAAACCCTCTGATATCAAAAGCAAGACCCTTCCAAGATCTCACTCTGTACGACAAAAATCAGATGTTGCAAAGCCTGGTACCAGACCTGATAGCACAGCTCAGAACAAAAGTCAGACTTTACCACGGCCTAAGAAAACTGAGCAAGGAAGCAAATCACCTAGCAGGCCAAATAATATAAATCTTGCAGCTGGGCCAGGACCTAGAAAGATGGGAAAGGCAGCATTGAAACAGCAGAACCCAGGTACCAGCATGAAGCATGGAGCATTAGGCATGGTATTGCCACCTTTTGACCCCTACATAAGAAGAATGCTTGCTGCATAATATTTATACATGTATGTCAGCACTTAATTGTGGATAACATGACTGTGTTGTTTTACCCTGTTGTTGAGATAAACTGATGGAGAATGGAGAATGTAGAGCCTACTGTTCAATGTTGAACATGCGACATTTGTTGACACTCTTACATATAACATTCAAAATAACTCTGTTATGAATGCTTTTCTTGCATAATGATATGTCTTGTGTTGTAGTTTGATGGCTTATACATTGTCCCTGGGTTTAATAGTAAGTGAACTGTCTGTTAAGGTTAACTTAAACCAGCAAGTTGGATATGTAGTGGTTTTGTTTTCATAGCTGGGCATGTAGACATGGCTAGACATGGTTTTCGCCTGGAATTGCAAATGACTGGTGTTAAACGGCTGATACTACTGCAATTCTGCTTGCTTTCCTTCAAGTGCTTTAACTAATAACAATTGCTAACTTCTAATAAAACTTACTAACATCATAGTAACATGTTAACTCACCCATAGCATCAATTTAAAAATCACATATTGATTTTGTAATGTTATAAAAGGTATGCTGTATGTAGCACTTTATATGTGACCTTTCAAATATATTGTAGGTTATGTTCAATCAAACCTGTGTTTAATTTAAAACCTTCAATAAAGACAGTATTAATTTATCTATCAGTCAATATGATTTACAAGAGAAACACAATATAAGAGAAACCAGTTTTAGAATTAGAATAAGAACTTTAAGATGTACTTATCTACAATTGAAAGACTTTATGTTAATTTTTCAGGAGGTCAGGACAGTCGTAGTTTACATATGTCACATTTAGACACCCCAAGCCCTGTTCACAGATCAAAGGTATATTATGGGTAATTTCTTTCTTGTTTCTAATGGAATTCCACTTAAAATTTATTGTTGATGTACATATTGATACAAATTTTTAGCTCACTTGAGCAGAACATGTTAGTGATGAGCTGTTGTGATTCTCATGGCATTGTGTGAACTGTTCATTGTCAAGAACTTCACAGGAATATAGGTGGTCCCCAATCAAAATGGATGAAACGGTTCTGGTGTATTACATAAAGCCCATCTCACACAGGACACACGGCTTACACGGTTGACCACCCGTGTTAACCGTACATACAACCGAACTAACCGTAGCGTTATCCGAGTTACACTCGGGCCATTCGAGTGTATCCGTGTAAGCCGTGTATGATTTTTAAAACTTTTAAAAAACTGGTACGGATGCCATGTCCGTGTATGACTGTATAAGCGACCGTACAAGACCGTAAGAGACCGTATGAGACCGTATATACAGCCGTATGTGAAGTTCACTCCACGAGTGAGCTCAACCGTATCAAGGTCGTATATAAATCGTATGGAATCGTTCGAGACCGTCCCCAAGTCCTACATCCAACACCCGATTAACACCCGAGTGTCACAAGATCACGGTACGATTCAAACGAGTGCACACACGGTTTCATACGATCACCATACGACCAATACGGTTCATATACGAAACATACATGGCTGACACGGTAAAGTACGGGTAAACAGGGTCTCACATGGCCTCGTACGGTCTAACACGGCCTCTACGTCAGCAAGAACTTTACAAAAAACACAACTACCTGCTGCCACCCTACCAAGAGTGTTTGCTGCATCACACTAGAATGTATCCAAAGAAGAAGTTTTGGACGCATAGAAGGAATACAAGAAGAGCCATCCAGGCCCACCGACCACTCCAACTTATTGACCCTGATAAGCTAGAGGACCAACCGGCAATCACCGTGTCTCTCTGGGATTCAGACTCCAATGCCAGCTCGGTGGACCCTCCAGCAACCGCTACACAACAAAAAAAGACACATTCATTTTACATTGCTTCACTTTTTATTCATTTATTGATGTTAATATTAGTTATAAAGATTGTTGACAGGTTATATGGCCTTATATAAACGGCTGTTTGTAAAAATAACCCGAACCTGTCAACAATCTTTATAACGAATTTATAAAACAGCAAGCATCATTTTTAGAGGAATAAAGCGAGATTTCTTTATAAATCGACAGCAGCTGTGTATATAAAAATATATAAACGTCACGATTATCCAATGAAAAGCGACGTTACAAACGTGCAGTATTATAATGATCTATATATAAGTGTTCTTCGTTGAAATTTCGAAAATTCATGAAGCCAAGTCATCAAAATGGGTTAATTTATATCAAAACATACACAAATGTGTGATATTTCGAGTCTAACTCGAACAAAAGTCGGCGGGACCCTATGTAAACCCTGTGAAAGTCGAGTAAATCGAGTAAAAGTCGTGTTTTATCGTACAAGACCGAACTAGACCGTACTTGGAACCGTACAACAGTCGTATGTATTCGTATGCAAATCGTGTTCAAACCTTGCTTGACCGAGTATATCCGTGCTCAATTCGTACATACTCGTGCTACATTCGAGTCTAATTCGTGCCAACTAAACCACAAGCACGGTTGGAGCTCAAAACTCGTACCAGTCAACCCGTGTATAACCGAGTATACCGTATGGGAATCGTGTGTGCAACCGTGTTTTGTGTGAGACGGGCTTAAGTAGGTCACATGGCTTGAATATGAGTTTAATGCAAATTTCGAAAATAATCTTGGCTGAAATTACAAGGCCTAGAGCTTTTATACATCATATAGATGTATTGTATTAAAATTGTTCAAATTATGCCTAAAGGGTCAAAATAAGCATTTCTCTAGAAGTCATGGGTATTCCTTATAAATGTATGTTTAGAGAAAAAAATCTACCCCAATGAATAGAGCGTAAAACATCATCTTATAGATATCTTTTTAAGTTGTTTAAATTAATTCTTTAGTGTTAAAATAAGCCCCACCCTTGGATCCTTAAATGTACATAGTGTAAAATTAAAAATCTGTCTCTGAATCTCGATGGCTAAGGCTTAGATCACGCCTACTAAACGGTGGCTCTTTCACATTTTTGTGATCTGTTTAAATGAGAGCCATCGACACTTCCGTTGCAGAGCCCTCGATGAAAACAAGGCTGAAAAAGGTAAGAAATTTTAGTAATAAATATCAATTTTAAAAGATCATGCTTGTTTTTCAAAAATCGAAGAATGTCATGCCACGTCGAACATTTTTCTCATTATGTTGAGTGCAGTTTCGATAAGAAATACCCTGAAATGACGTTGCTAGAACTTTTACCAAATATAACATCGTGTGTTTTCTTTTACGAGGAGACACGTTTTGAGTGATTTCCCTACCGTAAAGTAGATGCTGGCCTATTTAATCGTGCATACAGCATTGTCCCAATCTTATCTTTGGACCAACACAAAAAAATAACTTAGTTGAAAACCAAATAATCACATTTTTATAATTGTGATCGAGCCATCGACAAGGTGCTTGCGCCATCGGCAATGTGAATGAGCCCTAGAAAATGTGACGGAGCCAACACTATCATTCATTTTGTGATAATATGATGGAGTGTAACCGTTATTATACCTATTTTATCAACATATACAATTTCATATGCATCGTATCACTGGGATAACATATTGAAATAAAATACGCGATTTGATTATTGGAATTAATTAAAATAGAAGTAATAAAGGTCACGTGTGTGCACGATTGAAATATGCAATGGTCCATTCTGCACAAAGAAAGACAGAACGGACCACATACGAATAGTGGGAATTGTGAGAAAATTTTGCTTATGAACGCAACTTAAAACGACACCTCCAAAGATGCGGAAAAAGTATAAAGAAGAACCACACATGCAAGTATTGTACCAAACAGTTCTGTAATTGCCGTATGTGTACCGTCCTGTCTTTCTTTGTGCAGAATGGAGTATTGCATTCTTCAATCGTGCACACAAGTGACCTTTTCCGTGTATGTACAAGTTCAAAGTGCCTTTTAGCCCTTTCCCTCATGAGCATATTGTGAAAAAAGGCAGTTTTCATTGAAAAGCCTCCTGTTTCAAGTTCAAACTGTTATGAAACTATGAAAAATTCTTCAATACTAATCAAACTTGGCACAAATGTTGACTGGACCATTGCCTTTGTAACGACATGCTCAATCTTAAATTTCCTGTTAACATGGCAACGAGGGGACATCTCAAAATTGCCCAAAATAACTATTTTGCCTTGATTTTTTTCCATCAAAATTTATTTGAAAGGGCTGCAACTTCTTAAGGGATTGAGATAGAGTCAAAGGCTTTTCAGAGCTGGTTACATGTTACCTTATGATCGACCTGGGGTCTTTTTAGCCTCTCACAAGTCCAAAATTTTCTTGGCGATTAGGGGGACTACCGCCCCCTTTCAAACCCCCCAAACAGAAGGGGGCACATCCCCCTTCTGGCAACCCCCTGATGTATCTTTTGGGGGGGGGGGGGGGGCGCCGAAAAGTGCTCACTTTTTAAGCAACATTTCTCAAATGAAAACATTTGTATGGGGCCCAAATAGGACATTTTTCTATTTGAGGCCTAAAAGAGGGGGGGGGGGTCGAAAGTGCGTTGTTTCGCGTATATATGAGATAAATGGTTAAGAGAAGAGAAAGATGGTGTTGCGAATCGCCCATCACATATACCGCACAAGAAAAGCATTGATGCAAAGCATCAAAGGGCGTCCAAGCAAGAAATGCAGCAAGTGAAGATGAACTAGTACACATATGATGACAAGATATTCTTATAAACTACCAGAAATGTTTATCACTTATGAATGAGCGGACGAAAGACATTGTTCATTATGAACTTTGATTGGCATGCTAGAGATTAGAATATTACTTGTTATTTCTTTTTGATCGTGGTTATTAATAGCAACGGATATACATGTATGCAATCATTTATAATCCATATGTGTAACGCATGATCAACACGTACCACACCTTTGTAACTGTCCCTTATTATGTGATCGCTATTAGCGAAGACCCCCTCTTAAGGCATCTGTTCACACTTGAAGACACTGGTTATATAACCATGTTGATCATGTTGAGAATAATTGTTTATTATACAATTATTGTAATATCTGTTAATTTTAATAAAAAAATACAAATTTTATGAATATTGTTTTCTTTTCTTTTTTGTGTTTTATGTGCTATTTTGATACTGAGTTTTTACTACTCTTTTTTTATTAAAATTGTAAATTAAATTTTAAGAATTCAATTGTCATATTGACCGACGATTATAAGTCAAAGCTTAACTTGAAAAAGTCAGTAAATTATGGTTTATCTTTCAATATATAATATTGTTTATTCTTAAATCATGTACATGTACATTTGTATTTTTCTTTATCATTTCTTAAATTATCAATCAATTGAATAATTCATAAAATCTACTTTGTAACTTAGAATAATTCCTCGGCATCTTTACTAAACACGAATAACAAATTAAATAAAATGTTTCAAAGTTGATAATGTCATTTTAATACCATAAAAATGTACCTTTTTCTCAATTATTGTACATATCACAGATTTATATTACATATAAATCCGTCGTGTACATATTTATTGTTTTAATCTCATATAGATAAAATGAAACATGCTATTGTTGTTGTTTTTTCTAATTGTAACGATATCAAACATCTACTCCAAAACCGGGAGAGACCGGACAATAAACGTGTGGTACTATTTGCCGGTCACTAGTAAATCCCGGTCAAAATACACCGGGAGAGACCGGTAATTACCGATAGGAGTGATAAATAGATATATCTATAAATAGAGATTTGGAATATTTAGGTCATCAACTGATCATTCTAGGATACATGCACAACAATAACATACCACTGATAACCCACTGTGTACTACAAAATAATAAATATAAAACCCCGAAGAGCGCGATTTATTGACGGAAAAGGTTATTTCATTTGAAAATGTTTGCATCTCGCTATTCCTTCATTTCATTCTTAATTAATAATCAAGCGCCCTCATACCGATCGGAATGATCCGCTTTTATTATGACCGACTAAAAGGCTCGAGAAGTTGCTGTCGCCCTTTCACAAAATCTGATTTCATTCCATAAGGGCGCCGCGCTTCGGCGCGGACGCCAATAATGTACTGGTCGTCGCCTGCTCATGATAGTTTTTTTTATGAAATTTAACCCTGGCCTTATTGGAGTAAGTCTTTCCACACACATCACATTAAAAATCATTTTTGTATCCCCTTATTCATGTCGAGATTCCACCTGAAATTTAAATAAATTTTAAAAATTAAAAACTGAAACTTTACCGACTAAATTAAAAAAACTATTTTTGTATGTCTAGTCTGTTTATATTTTATACAAATAGGTTTTACTTCAATTATAATGAATTCCAATAATCAAATCGCGTATTTTATTTCAATATGTCATCCCGGTGATACGATGCATATGAAGTTGTATATGTTAATCAGTCAGGTATAATAACAGTTACACTCCATCATATTATTACAAAATGAATGAAATTGTTGGCTCCATCATATTTTCGAGGGCTCATTCACATCACCGATGGCGCCAGCACCTTGTCGATGGCTCGATCACAATAATAAAAATGTAATTATTTGGTTTTAAACTAAGTTCTGTAAGTTATTTTTTGTGTTGGTCCAAAGAGGAGGTTAGGACAATGCTGTATGCACGATTAAATGGGCAGCATCTACTTTACGGTAGGGAAATCACTCAAAACGTGTCTCCTTGTAAAAGAAAACACACGATGTTATATTTGGTAAAAGTTCTAGCAACGTCATTTCAGGGTATTTCTTATCGAAACTGCATCCAACATAATGAGAAAAATGTTCGACATGGCATGAAATTCTTCGATTTTTGAAAAACAAGCATGATCTTTTAAAATTGATATTTTTACTAAAGTTTCTTACCTTTTTCAGCCTTGTTTTCATCGAGGGCTCTGCAACGGAAGTGTCGATGGCTCTCATTTAAACAGATCACAAAAATGTGAAAGAGCCACCGTTTAGTAGGCGTGTAGATATTTAATGTAAAATTCCATCTAATGGATTTGTACCAAGATTATTCAAATTATGGCCTTGAGATCAAAATTGTTCCTGACCAGGGGTCTTTGGTTTGCCTTATATGTTTATTGTAAAACCTAAGAAAATTTCCTTCTTTGAAACCCCAAGGGCCAGAACTTTCAATGTACATATTTGGCATGAATTTTGGGGCCCTTACCCTCAAACTTCACAAGGTGCATTGGTCTTGGCCAGTAGGTAACCCTTACATTGACCTTGTACGTAAAAAAGGTGTCCGACCGATAGCTTAAGGTACGATTAGTTTCCGGACTGTAACTTTGTCATGCATTGAAGGATTTTAAAATAACTTGGCATAAATGTCTACCACAACAAGATGATATGTAGCATCCAAAACCCATGTCCCTACCTCTAAGGTCAAGGTGGTAAGTTCACTGTTCAGTATTAAGCAATTAGTTACTTTAATTCTCTTTTCTTTTCATTGTACCTCTCTGCAATGCTTAAGAAACCTTTTCGGGGGCATTCGTCACTTGTGCATGGCAGCTCTTGTTTTTTGCTATAATTGGCTATAATATACTTTATTTATGATAATAGTATAGGTAGCTACTCAAGGGCATTTCTGGGAGTGGTAAAATTTTTACACATGCAAGATGCATAAGATAGGCAAAGATGTTTCATTATCAGTTTTATCATTTCAGAGAAGCTCAGCTGATGGAAGATCAAGATTCATACCAGTTACTACCCTTGAAGATATGCAAGCTATTCGAACTGTGTCATTTCACCCATCTGGGGAAATGTACATGATTGGTTCAAATACAAAAACTCTGAGAGTGTGTGAATTCCCAGACCTGAATGAATTGGTGTAGGTTTTCATTTTAAGCTTGACTTTTTCGGAAAGGTTTGCTACAGTCATGTTGTCTGTTCCTGTTGCAGTTGCCGTTGATGTCCAAAAACTTTAACATTGGCCATTATCTTTTAATTTCTTAATGGATTGTCTTCATACTTTGACACAACAACCCTTTGGACAAGACTTTCAAATAGACCTGACTGAACTTGACTTTGACTCAAATAACCTTGACTTTCAAGGTCAAATGTTTGAATTTGCTTGATTTTTGCTATAATTATGCTCCCGAAAGGAAGTCATATTAAAGTCGCACCATCTGTCTGTCTGTGCCTCCCCACTTCATTCTTGCCCGGATTGTTCCTTTGTCATACATTTAGGGATTTTGAAATAGTTTTAGCTCAAATGTCTACCACATCAAGACAATGTGACGCGTCGAAGAACCATGTCCCTACCTCAAAGGTCAAGGTCACACTAACATTTTGTAGTTTCACATTATCACAAGAGGTACACACATTCGTGTCCGGACTGCAACTTTGTCAAGCATCGAGGGATTTTAAAATAACTTGGCATAAATGTCTACCACATCAAGACAATGTGTCCTGGCTAAAGCTGATGTCCCTCTGTCCATCAGTGCGTCTTCACTTACACAACAATCATGTCCAGACTGTAACTTTGTCATGCATTGAGAGATTTTGAAATAACTTGGCACAAATTATTATCATATGACAACATTGTGTCGCTTCCAAGAACCACGTCCCTTCTTCAAATGTCAAGGTCACACTTATATTTTGAAGTTTCACATTATCACAATATAGGTGCACACATTCATGTCCAGACTTTAACTTTGCCATGCATTAAAGAGTTTTAAAATTACTTAGCATAAATGTCTACCACATCAAGACAACATGTCACGTCCAAGACCCATGTTGCTACCTCCAAGGTCAACGTCACTCTAATAGTTTGAAGGTACTTATGCTCAAAAGAAGAGTTTGAAGGCACACATTAGTTTCCAAACTGTAACATTGTCATGCATTGAAAGATTTTTAAATAACCTGGCATAAATGTCTACCACATTAAGATGATGTGTCACGTCCAAGACCCTTGTCCCAAGGTGTTAAGTTGTTGTAAATAGCACTTCATTTCACAAGAACAATACTTTCATTCTCTTTTCCCATAATACCTGCATGCTTAAGAAATCTTTTCGGGGCATTCGTCACTTGCGTGACAGCTCTAACTTTGTTATTTATGAATGGATTGGCTTCATACTTGGACATAATAACCCTTTGGACAAGATCTTTAAGTTGATTGTGATGTTCACTCATCAATGACCTTGACCTTTAGTCATATCTTTTGGCATATATAATTCAGTATATTTGCATGGGTCTGCCTGTGTGTCCATCAGTGCGTCTGACCTGATTTGTCCGGTCTATATCTTGCTCATTCTATGAAGGGTCACAAAATAATTTGGTACAAATATTCAGCATGATGGGATGGTGTGTCGCACACAAAATCCAGGCCTGCTACTCAAAGATCAAGGTTACACTTGGGGGTCAGCACAAAACCCATGTCCCGAGCTTAACTTCTACATGCATGGAGGGATTTTAATAATTACCTCAGGACAAGTGTTCTCAATAGTGAGGCGTAGTGTCTGTGGCAAAGATCAAGGTCACATTTAAGGGTCAAGGTCAAATAAAAAAAAACAACATTCATTTGCATGTATTACTTCTAGATACATTGATGGATTTTAATTGGCACAAATGTTTTCCATGTTGAGCTGTCTTGGGCAAAATGAAGGTCAAGATCACAAGAGGTCAAAGGTCAAATTTAAATTTGTGTTGAGGTCAACTTAGTCACTGCTATACACTTTTAGCAGTTTGGTGTATGTATGTTTGTCAGTCTGTGTGTCTATCTAGATTTATCAGGTCTATATCTAGCTTATTCTTTGAAGGATTACAAAATAGTTTGAAACAAATGATCACCATGATGGGATAGTTTGGTGTATGTATGTTCATCAGTCTGTGTGTCTATCAGATTTATCCGGTCTATATCTAGCTTATTCTTTGAAAGATTACAAAATAGTTTGATACAAATGATCATTATGATGGGATGGTGTGTATTAGCAAAACCCAGCTCTGCCACTCAAAGATCAAGGTTTGGGGGTCAGCGCAAAACACGTGTTCGAAGTGTAACTTCTACATGCATGGCAGGACAAATGTTCTCCAAAGTGAGGCGGAGTGTTGTGCGAAAATTTCAGATGTCTGTGATCAAGAATGTCAAGGTCTTTTATCAAAATTTGTTTGTAACTTATGCTTTGAAGTGTTATGTTTAGTGGTCAGAGGATTTTTGTCCAACCCACTTGTGCTGAGCTCGACATAGTTGTCAAAGTGGCTGTTCAGTGTTTGTGTGTGCATGTGTGCGTCGAAACTTGTCTATGCAATAACTTCTTTGTGCATGGAGGAATTTTCAAATAAAATGAATTGAGTTTGAGGCACAAATTTTCATCATGAGTCCAGGTCTCCGGGTCATAGGTCAAGGTCAACTGATGCAATGTCAAGATTTTGCCTTGGGTTTAAGAGGATGTGTTGTGTACATCTCACCTATGTATACATCGTTCTCCTTGATCTGAAGCTTATAGGCTCATGTTTTAATTAAGATGAGCGGGTTCAACATTCTGCCCATGGGCATGTTTTTGTTTTACAGGTTTGTGCTATAATTGGCTATTTAAATTGTAAATATTGAATGTATTGTCTTCATACTTGCAGACAACAATACTTGGGTCCAAACATTAAAAAAGATCTAATTGAACTTGACCTTAATTTCAATTTGATCTGGACACTTAAGGTCAGATTAGTGAGTTTTGCTACTGTTGGCCAGAACTTTGTTATTTATTTATGGATTAGAAGACCTTGGACAAAAAAACACTTATGACATTCACGTATGTTGAATAACTCAAATATGACCTTGACATTTTAAAAATTATTGAAATTTGGGGACATGATAAGTAATTCAAATGTGACCAAGACCTTTAATTGACCTTGACCATCAAGGTCAAATATGAAAATTGAATTTTATTTGTTAAAAAAAATGTGTTTTGTAGGAGTACTCTTTACTATAATATTCTTCCTCTGATGTGTTTGACTTTAAGAAAAAGGTGAGTGGGGGCCTACTAGGTGGTGGCTCTTGTTAGTTTTGGTTTAGTAAGCGGGGATATTATACCTTTTCGAGATATAAGTATTAAGTCCTATTTCTGCTTATTTTTGAATCAAATTTTGTTCTTACCAGATTCATTGCAATTTTATAAGTAATAATTTTATAAGCAGCAAGAACAGTAATTAATGAGGTTTTAAACTGCTAATGATTAAAAAGTTTTTATACCACACATTTTATTGCATTGTTATATAGTAATACTTGTACATGTTACTTTTTGTAGAGCTGATCACATGACTTACCCGACTAAGATTCTATGTCAGAAACACAAACATCATAAAGGGAGCATATACTGCTCTGCATGGAGTCCCCTTGGAGATTTGATAGCTACTGGTTCCAATGACAAGACCATTAAAATCAACAGATTTAATATGGATAGTTGTACAATAGATGGTAAGTTGTACTTAAATAAATAAACACTAGATAGTAAGTTGTACTTAAAGGTAGTAAATTGTGTGATAGAAAATAAGTTGTGTGTGGTATATGGTAAGTTCATTGTGATAGATTGCAAGTTAAACTATAAATGGTGAGTTGTACTACAGGTAAATGGTCAATACACCCATTGACAGTATCTTTATGAACTACGTAAATAACCAAGGTACATCAAGTGAAAAAATACGAGTTGTTTCCCTTATCTTCAAGTAAAATCAATATCTCTCATTCTAAAACAAAACAAATTTAGCCATTTTTAAACCGCTAGTTGGGGGCGAATTATTGTCTGATTTTAAAATTTAATACACCAATAAAAAGCTTGTGATATTAGCTTCATCTCTGTATATATATTTCAACACATCATTTGACACTAAAGGTATTAAAATTTAAGGTTAAACCTACCACAAGTTAGACCATTTTATATACAATTTATACAATGAGATCTTTACTTACAACTCTTTTGATAAGAATAGCATGTCGTCTGCTAGTTAGAAAACTGTCAATCGGTGTAATGTATTATACATATAAAATGATTGTAAGTTGTGTAATGTTATTTGTTATTTTATAACTATATTTGTTGAATTTTGGTAAGTTGTACTGTACATGTAGTTGGTTCTTTAAGACAGTTGTCACTTGCAAGACCCAGGTCCCTAGGTCAGAGGTCAAGGTTGATTTTTTTGTATTGAGCAAAGTGTATTTGTTTTATCTTTATAACTTTGTCTATGGTCTGTACTTTGGCATGCTTGATGGGATTTTAAAATAAGTCTTTAAGAAACTAATCTTTGGTACTAATTTAGATTTTCATTAGCTCACCAGAACCGAAGGTTCAAGGTGTGCTATTAGTATCAAAGGGGAATGCTCTGATGTCCACCGTCATGTGTCAACATTCATTATCTTCTCTGAAACCGCTGGGCAGATTTACTTCAAATTTGGTCTGTAGCATCCTTGTGACAGTCACAATTAAATTTGCTCATATCATTTCAATTGGCCCCTTTAAGGTGTCAACAGAGCTAAAAGTAGAAAAGCCTTAAAACATCTTTTCTACTAAACTAATTGATGGATGATCACCAAACTTTATATGTAGCATTTTTAGAAAGTCTTGTATCAAATTGGTTTAAATTAATTTGATTGGCCTCATTTAATTTTCAGGTCAGGACATTGAGCTTTCATTTCATGACGGAACTGTGCGAGACCTTGTATTTATGCAGGATATTAGTAACAGGGCCTCCTTATTAATCAGTGGTGGCGCTGGAGATAGTAAGATTTATGTCACAGATTGTGAAAGTGCTATGCCTATCAGAGCCATGGCTGGACATTCAGGTAATTTAACTTTCGCTATCCATGTAATTTTAATATCACACTTGTCTGAAGTCCTATTGAGGCCGGGTGCTAATTAATCTGCCACGCCTACAATTAAAGAAAGTCATTGTACCAATACTTTTAGAATTATCTCCTCATTTAGCTTAAATTCTTTTACTCTAATTTCTTTTATTTCTACAGTAACCGGCATCTTGAAGTGACTATAGCAACCAAACAAACTGTCACTATAGTTGATATCACTGTCACAATAATATTACAATGATCACAAAATATCATAATACCATAGAGATATTTTGTTGGATTTAGAAAACTTTAAAAAAAGAGCATTTTTACCATGTCAGCCATCCTTGTCCTAGCAAACATTCTCATTGTTTAAAGATTTTTTTATCAATAACTTTAATAAAACAGTAAATATTTCAACAGAATACAAATATTCATCATCATTAGTATAAAATCCTTGATTTCTGTGGTGCCCTAAGTCTATACTGTGATTGACAACTTAAAGTATGTGGCACGCCCTAAAGATAGAAATTAACTCTGAAGTTTGTTTTTTGTTGTTTTTTTTTTAAGAGCTTGGAAGTTTCAACTAGAAAAAAATTAACTTGCTGTATGCCTAGTTCTGGTGTCCAATTGACCATAATTTTTACTGATTTGAAAAAAAAAAGGGTATAAAAAAAAAGACTGGTAGAAATTGAAAATGTTCATATGAATCACTTAGAATTCAACATGTTTGCGCCATCACAACAGTTAAAATATATACTATCTACCAAGTGATATTAATATAACTATCCTATACTGTTCCTACATGGAATGCAGAATAATACTTTATAACATTATAGAAAGATGTACTGAAAATTATTAATATGTTTTATCTTCATTTAGCATCAACTGGATAAAGGTTAACTTGCATCAATATTTATGATTTTCCCTCTGAACATGATTTTCTTTATTTTTTACCCTAACTAGCGATTTACTTGAGATATCAAATTTATAGTCCTGCAACATAAAATTATCATAGTTTTGTGAGACTAGAACCTGCATGTCTAGAAATATTTTTATTCTTTGAAAATTGTCATTTACTTAAGAGTTGAAATTATTGATCATTGTCATTACTAGCATCATGTTTGACAAGCTTTATTAGTCCCCTACCGGTTAAACCCGAGGGGACTTCAGGTTTACCCTCCGTCCGTCAGTCTGTCCGTCTGTCTGTCTGTCCGCACTCACAGGAGAGTAATTATGTGGCTAGAGGAACAATAGGTAACTGTTCTTTCTCTTTGATGTCATTCATTCCGTAATGCTTTTATGTGGCTATTTTCTTTTGTGTGGCTAAAAAGAACAATAGAGAGAACAATAGAGTAGCCACATAATTACTGTCCTGTGAGAACGTCCGTCCGTCAGTCCGTCCGTCCACAAAACTGGATCCCGCGATAACGCAAAAAGTACTTAAAATATTTTTATGAAACTTGATATATGAATAGATGGCAGTATGGAGATTATGCACGTCTTTTTCTTTTGTTCCTATGTTGAAAATTCTGGTTGCTATGGCAACAAATAGTCTGAAAATATGGCAAATTTAACATAAACTGGATCCAGTGATAACTCAAAAAATACTGAAAATATTTTTATGAAACTTAAAATATAGGTAGATAGCAGTCTGGAGATTATGCACATCTTTTTCTTTTCTTCCAATGTTGAAAATTCTGGTTGCTATGGCAACAAATAGTCTGAAAATATGGCAAATTTAACACATAAACTGGATCCAGTGATAACTCAAAAAATACTGAAAATATTTTTATGAAACTTGAAATATGGGTAGATGGCAGTCTGGAGATCATGCATATCTTTTTCTTTTCTTCCTATGTTGAAAATTCTGGTTGCTATGGCAACAAATAGCCTGAATTTCAAGATTTCTGATTTAAATTTTTCAGCTTTTTCACTATAAGTTCTTTATTTCTTAAGGTGTTTACTTCAAACTTTAAATATAAGTTTCTGGTCATCAACCACATCATATGTGACAAGGTTTACAACTCTAGCACAAAAATTATCAGTATTACCTCCCTTGAACTTAGAATTTTTATGAAAAAAAATGTTGTCTTTTTTAAATAACTTCTTTATTTCCTAATGTTTCTACTTCAAACTTCATATAAATTTCCTAATGTATCTACTTCAAACTTCATATACTGTATACGTTTCTAATTATCACTCAACATTTTTGAGAAGGTTAAATACTCTTGCAAGACTATTTCCAGAATTATGTCCCCCTTGAACTTAGATTTTTTTCGAGAAATTGGTATTTTTTACTCCAACTTCTTCATTCCTTATAGGATTTACTTTAAAATCCCACATTGTAATAATATGACAAGGTTGGTTAAACATAATTTCCTTACTAGGCAGGGAAACTTAACACATTACTGTGATATAGACAAACTCAAAAGATTTAAGTCCATTCATGTCATTCATTCACTGGTAAAATTGAATGGCCAATGGCCCATCAGAATGTTGCTGGGGTTCTAACCGGTAGGGGACTTATGGATTGCTTGCAATACTATGATAATTGCTTGTTAATCTAGCTTCTTTATTTAAAGAGTTGTCTTCTCTTTGAACCTAGAAGTTTGCTTTAAAACTGGTGTGTACATTTTACTCTTATTATATTTTTTACTGAAGGGATTTACTACAGATTGTCAGATTGCGTTAAGAATGGCTAATGGTTCTATAATGTAGGACATTTTGATAATAAATATGATTTTTTTTATATTAGAATTTTTTTGTTGTTATTTTTTTGTTAACAGTTTTGTCTTTCTTTACTGCATTCATAATTGATTTAGCCAGACACACTGTATTCTCTTACAGCTCTTGTTAAATATTAATCTTAACACCAATCTTGTGTGCTGTTTGAAGTCTATAACCCATTGCTTCTCTGTTGAAACCCCTGATTGAGCACTGATTTTACATGCTATATATATATTGAGGATAATTTGTTACCTACAATTTGACAAGTATAGCTGATTTTAGATGATTCAATCTGCCTGAATAGCTCAAAGAATTCTGTCTTCTGTTTTCTGTGCCAATGTGTGGTATTGATGTTAATGATTTATTAGTAAAAGTTTATGTTAAATTCAGTATCTTCTAGATATTGTAATGTCATCTACAATTATGTAAGTATCATATTTAATGATTGTTATTTTAGGTGTTGTTTACTCACTACATACCTGGGGCAGATGTATGTTTGTTAGTGGTGGCCAGGACAAGACTGCAAGATTCTGGGATCTGAGAGCCTCCACACCAATTACTGTTGTACCTAGTCCAACTGGTGGGTTGTTTTAAGCTCACCTGAGCATAACATGCTCCTGTAAGCTTTTGTGATCCCCCTCTGTCTGTCATTCAGTGTAATAGAAAAATAAATGTGTCATAGAGAACACTTTCAATCTCATAGAAAACTAAATGTCTATTAGAAATAAATTTAGTCTTATAGAAAACTAAATTTCTCATAGAAAATGCATTCAGTCTCATAGAAAACTAAATGTCTATTAGAAATACATTAAGTCTCATAGAAAACTAAATTTCTCATAGAAAATGCATTCAGTCTCATTGAAAACTAAATGTTTATTAGAAAACACATTTAGTCTCATAGGAAACTAAATTTCTCATTCAATCTCATAGAAAACTAAATGTCTCATAGAAAACATAACTGTTTCAAAGAGAACACATTCAGTTTTATAGCAAAACACATTCAGTTTCATAGAAAATACATTGAATCACATTAAAAAATACCTTGATGAAAACAGTTGGTGGCCAAATGTTTATGGTCTACACACAAACACAGACTAGGTAGTCATCTATGTGCAACCGAAGCAATCTTCCTGATAAACCTGTACCCAGGAAACATATATTGTATATTGACAGTGGCCGATTTCTTCGGCGTCCAGGAATCACGCGATTTCTATGTCTAGGGTCATTTTGGACGAAACATCGCCACATCTGAATAAATTATTCCAGTAACATATTATTACATATCAAAATCATTGATCGTTGCTGCTTACTTAGCTTGCCGCATACTAAAGTTAACAAGGATGAAGCTGTCTCTGCTGCACCAAATAACAGGCAGAGGTACATGGCCATTTCCAATTTATTTAGTATCCAGCACTGTACGCTTTTCAAATTTCTGAAATTAAAGGCAAACACTATAACATCTGCTGGCAACAGTAGTGTTCGCTAATACTAAATTAACAAGGACAGTCTCTGTGCACAAGTAGCATGCATTCCCAAATTTACAGTCAACTGGTACACTCTGTACCAAATTCCAAGCATAAGAAGAATACATAACCTGGCATATTTACAAATATTAGTCACTCATGGAAGTTTCTCAAGTTCATTGTTACCATTTATAACAAATGAAAGAGTTTCGCAGAGCATTTTGAACAAGACACTGCAAATGCAGGGCAATTTACGCCGGTATGTAAATTTGTGTGTAATCAAAAATAATCTTTCAATTAGGGTAGTTACCAAATCAAGACACTTGTCCGAAAAATATTTTATCTAAAGGTATGACCCGCTTAATGGGCACCAAAAAAATTGACAACATGCTCTTGGCAATATCCAGACAATATCTGGATATTTTATAATCTCTACTAACCCTGACCTTGCAAATATTAACCTAAATTACATGTGTCACACTTGTAGTCAAAATAGTCATCATTTGTGTTACAATCCATCAATAAATGATGACTTTAATCTTAACTTTGACCACTCTATGTGACGTTGACTTTGGTAGCAGGGACCTGGATTATGCACGCAATACTTAGTCTCACAATGGTGAACATTTGTGCCAAGTTACATTAAAGTTTTGCCCTGAATAAGCATTTTTCAAAGAACTCTAAGTATGACCTTGACCTTTTACCTTGTTGATCTTGTTTTTCATATTCTATTGTAACTTTTGATTTCCTTTAGCTATAGCAACCAGTTATGAAACGCTTTTGTATGTGCCCTATTTCAGATACATAATATGAACTTTGTGATATATTTGTTTATTTCAATGACAATTTATGTAATTTATTTGTTAAATATGAAAAAAAAAAAATCAACTAGTATACATGTCTTTTCCTATATACATATCTGTCTAGCAAAATTATACCATTGTTGGTCAAACCAACACAATAAAGGTCATATGGCAACATTCAAGCTTTACTGCTGGTGTAAGACCTCAGATGCCTTCCATTGCATTTTTTCCGGCATGAATGGGTACCTGAGTAGAACTACTGAAGTGTAAACTAGCAGGATAGCTTTCTTACATGAAAAAAATCCAAAGTCCCTGGAAAAATTTAAACCTAGTGGTGAGGGGCAAGTGGCAAATCAACAATTAATTTAATTTAATTTACAAACAGGAAGCCCATTTGCGTCAGTGTGTGTGGACCCATCAGAGAGACTGCTAGCATCAGGACATGAGGATGGTTCAGTGATGTTGTATGACATACGTAGTGTACGAGCCCTACAGAGCTTCCGACCACACTCCGAGGATTGTAGATCTGCTAGATTTTCTATGAATGCGTTCTACTTGCTGTCTGGATCATATGACAGAAATATTGTACTTACAGATCTACATGGTATGTTCAAACAGAAATATTGTACTTACAGATTTACATGGTATGTTCAAACTATTAAATTAAGGTAACATGTATTTTGTACAGAATCCATTGCTGGATAGATCAGTTTGTCTTGCAGTTGAAAGCACTTCTTAAAGTAGGCTCATGAAATCTTTGTTTTAAAAATTACAGTTGTCATACTTAGATACAAACCTATGGAAGAATATTTATTTTTGGCACAAAGTAGCTCAGTGTTATTTACTTTTTGTTTGTGAAGAGTTTGACATCAGATTTTAAATCGTTGTCTTCCATTACAGCAAAGAAATGTTAAATGTTTATTGACATGGTCACATACATATTAGGTTATGCAAAAATGTTGAACAATCTAATAATGAAATGTTGAGTGTTGAAAGTGATATCTTGATACTTCTACAGATGTTTTATCATAGTGTCGTCTTCCTCTACTGCGTCCAATACTCAGTTAGTCATTTCTGTCTCCTGTGACTGCACTTGTTGATTCTACTATAAGCATTTTTTAATAAGAATATGGCTTTATAATGACCTACATAAAATCCTATGTTACAGAGACGTTGGAGGTATTCATTATTCTTTGGCAGCTCTAGTTAATTTTTTGTTGAACACTTGAATGTTTTAGTTTGTGTTTGCAAATAAAAGCATTAATGATGAGTGAATTTGTAGATATTATTTGCTGCCTTTTGTTGTTATACCTGCTCAAACATGAAACAAAACACAGAAGGAAACAAAAATATTTTTTATTTTCTTAACATTGACAGAGAAACTTAATTCTTCATCAAGTATACAAATTCTTAATCAAGTATAAAAATTAAAAAAAAAAAACAAGAAAAAAAAAACAACCTTAATGCTATTTATTGAATGTTTGAAATAAAAACTTACATGTTGAAGAATTAGGACAAAATATTGTTAAGGAAACATTGTGTGACGAGATGAACGAATAAGTGAGTGTTGTTTTATTGTTTCAGGAGATCTACTGAAACCTTTACCAAGTGTAATAGTTGCTGATCATCATGATAAAGTTATACAATGTAGATGGCATCCTAACCAACTTGCATTTGTCTCAACAAGTGCAGATAAAACAGTTACATGCTGGGCACTTCCTGTATAGAAGACTGGCCACTTCCTGTTTATCATTGTTTCTCTTACAGTATTTTACAATAAGTTAACTGGAACTAGATGTCATTTTTACATACACACAATGTCTGTGTAGCATACAAGCACTTGTTGATTATACTGTAAGCATTTTTGAATAAGAAAATGGATTTTTTTCTGAAAGTAATGCATAAGTATAGTATTATTGTCACATAAATACTTGCTGTTAGTTTTCTTAAATGCAGTAAATGTGTTGACGAAATTTTCAATCTTACAGACAGTAGCTTCCTTTTAGTAGTTCTTTCAGTCATTTCATATTATCCATTAAATAAGTTCAAGTAAGAAATAACAAAAGTTCTACAATTGTAGTTAATCATCAGTGTTTCTGCCAGAGCGCGTTTTTGCGTTTTTGGCGCACTATTTTCAGCCATGACGCAATGAAATTTAGTTAGTGCGTATTTTGTGACGCAAGAATTTCACCGTCGCTGATTTCAACACAAGTCAGATATACAGACTATAAACCGTCAATTCAGTATAAAAATGTACTGAATGTTTACCGTGGGCTCCACTATAATTTTAATGAGAAATGAAATTTACCAGGTCCGTGGTCCGGCATTTAGCCAATTTCAACTAGTTAATAAACGCTTGCATTTATACGTTACTGCATATATTGAAAGCGCCCAGACAAAATTATTTATTTTGTTGTCGTCATATTCTGCGAACGAATAACTGTCTGCTGGAAAATGCAGTCTGCGGTATATGTTAGTGTTCATCTGTGCTGTTCTACAGAAATTAGAAACTTCGAAGGGAGCGATAGCGACAGGAGAATGTTTCTAATTTCTGTAAAACAGCTAAGGATGAACACTAACATATTTAGTGTCAAGCTTTATTTGGCCCTTGATTACGTCACTAGGCGGTACTATGAAGCACTATGAAAAATAGAAGGCGACTATGAACGAATTTCAATATAGTATCGACTTTCTTTCTTCTATGAAAATTAACACACATAATTTTTAAGAAATACAGCGTTATTATTGGATGACAAATAATCCAAAATAGCAGAGATTGACCAATTTCTTCACGAAAAATATACAAAATATTGTAAATAAAACTTATAAAGTGTTACCTGTTTTTTTTTTTTTACATTTTTGTTAAATTTATTGGCATGACCCTTATGAATTTGAAATGACCCCTAAAATATCATACAGGGGGTCATAAAAGACCCTCAGAAAATCAGAGCTGGCAGAAACACTGAATCATAACTGTTTTTAGTTGTGAAAATGCAAATGCAGTTGTAATGGAAAAAGTACAAGAAAAAACAAATATTCTGTATTATAGAATCTCAGATGAAGTATTTATCCAAGTTTAAAACTTAATGACAGCCTGTCATATCATGAGAAACACTCATAACAATTGTTTTATTTGCATATTTTCATGTTATATTGTAAACTTTATCACAAATTACTGAATTCCAATTTTACATTTCTTCACACACATATTCATGTTTAGTAACTTTTTTGAAAAAGTGAAATCTCATAATGTAATGTTTAAAATAGCTACATTAACACATATGTAATAAGTTTAATATGTCACTGATTTCCACAAGAATTCCCATGTACACTGTATTTAAGAAGTTCCCTTTTTGTGGCTTATGTAATCCATTGTTCTACAACTTATATTTAGTAGAGCTTCATTCATAAAATTGTCTCACATATACATTAATGATAATAATCTAAATGATTTTTGTAAGACAAACTTGAATAACTTAATGTTATTCTTTAGATTATTTTAAAGTTTTGTTTTAAATGTCTTGCAATTATCTATTATTATGTTTATTCAAAAGACAGTGATTCAAAGTAATAAAATACAATGGCAATTTCATCCTCAATTTTTGATATGTTATTTGAATGACATATATATTTTTTTCATATTTTATTTATTTGATGATCTCTTTCTTTTCTGTAGGAATATTAATTTAGAGTGGCATGTGTAGGAATATTGTGATATACGAGGGTTGTTCAAAAAGAAATAAGACTATGAGTCTTACATTAAATTTGAATATTTTCATATTCACGGCAATCATAAAATGTTTTCAACAATGTTATCATATTTCTTTGCTAAACGTGTGCTCCATGTGATATTAAATTAATAACCATGGTTACATGCAACCGGCACAGGGCATCAAAAAAAATTCTGCAGCTTAGTTGTACTTTAGTGTATTCATTATTTGATGTCTGTTCTTTCATTTATTTCACCAATGTTTTTCAATATATTTAAGTGACAGTATGTCTAAATTTGACGTTGGTCAGACATTAGATGGCTACATAATGAAGTTTTGAACAACAGTGGTCATACCATTAAATATATAAATATGATGTCCATTGTAAATCTGGAACTGGATTGATCGTAACATTCTGCCAATGGATGGGTGATACTCCTTCAACTAGGTACGAGAAAATTAAATTAATGATGTGAAATTATATGGCAAGCTGTGCACTCATTTTCAGCTGTCACAAATAATTCTGAGATCACAGACAGGAAAGGTTGAAGGAGAAGGCAGTAAATTGTTGTGACATTTATGACATCAATTGCAAAAGCATTACAAAGGATCTACAGTAAACTGTCCGGCATGTTTGATGTCTGCATCAGGTCAACTCATTCTATTCTGACTTGAATATGATACAGGTGTTTTAAATGTTACTTTATTTATTTAACTAGATCCATGAATATTTTCAATGAACTAATGTAATAATGAAACACGGTAATTATCATTATCCCCAATTATGTATTTTATTGATAGCCCGTACTAGGTAAAATAGAAAAAATTTCAATTGATAAAACATTTTTATTTTACTGTGCATAATCATAATGTTAAGGTCTGTATTTAAATTCTATAAACTGATAATTTGACTTACATAAGTCCACGCCCGATGAGTGCCGTGTTTATTACAAAAAACCTGAGAAAGAGTGGAGAGTGGCAGACTTGTGGTCTTTTTCAGGAGAGTGGAGTGAGTTCATGATCGCTTCCTTTCTTGCATCGACCTGGCTATGGTTACTTGCATTCAGACACCTAAAGCACTGTGGGAGAATACTTCTAGAAGGAATAACACTTGTGTCATTATTTTGTATTTATTTTGTAACATCATGAAGGTCATTAAATGAATTGTTAGCGTGCGCTGGGATACAAACCCGTTGCCAGTTCACAGAATTGAAATTTACGGGATGAAAAGGAAGAATACAAAGAAACCACAGAATTGTTATTTCTCAACATATTGTAATAATATTTTTTTACTGTATATAAAGAAATTTTTTCAATAATTGTCTCTAGTAAAATTATGCACATTGATTAAAAGTTGTGATTGAGCCACAGTCATATTACTTTTTGAACAACCTTCGTATGAAGATTAATCTATTCAGTGCTTACATAGATAATAATAGATGTATGCTAGACGTGCAACAATTCACTAAAGTTGGGATATATCCAAATACGTTGCCTCTGATTACTTATCTGATTTACATTTGATATGTCAAGCATTGTCAAATGCCCACAAGAATATTTCATTATTAGGGAAAGAAAACTGGCCAAATGAGAAACAGCTTGCTACTACATGGGCATCATTAAAAAATATGCTGTTTGGAAGGTTGAAAACTTGTAGATTATATAAATAGTCTTCAAGGAAAGTCAGAGCTTCTGCAGAACATGTTTTAGCATCAAATGTACATGTGGTATAAATAATTAATTATATTGTTAAAAGTAAATTTAAACGGCAAATCAATATATGAGCCGTGTCATGACAAAACCAACATAATGGGTTTGCAACCAGCATGGATCCAGACCAGCCTGCGCATCCGCGCAGTCTGATCAGGATCCATGCTGTTCGCTTACAAACACTATTACATGTAGAGAAACTGATAGTGAACAGCATGGATCCTGATCAGACTGCGCAGATGCGCAGGCTGGTCTGGATCCATGCTGGTTGCAAACGCACTATGTTGGTTTTGTCGTGACACGGCTCATATGTGTAATATACATTAGATCTGTTGCTTAACCAAAAAAGTTATCGGGGTGGGGGGGGGGGGTCAAAATTGAAAGGCTAATGATGTGTTAAAGAATGGCAAAATATATATTATAGTTCTGATCAACATGCAGTTTTAATCTTCTTTAAGAAAAAAAAAACGAACCAAAGGGTACCAGTATCATTGCATCCCTAATGCATGCCACTAGTAAAGTGTTCAACTACATAGACTTCTAGGCTGGCCGGACTGTACAAATAGTATCTTTTACTAAAGCTCAGTTTGTCAATTCTAGTCAACTAATCTAGAAATCTGATCAACTGAGGAATTTTGGTTTTATACAAACTCCATCTTACAGTTAAATATTGTTTTATTTATTTCCAAAGATAACCAACATACCATGATCATACTTAATTTATTTTGTTATGTTGTTAACATATTTTATGTATTATGTTTCCATCCAAATGTTGTGATCTGAACTAAACTGTCTCAGTTAAGTTGTGTATTTATTGGCTTTTTATTTATTGCCTTATTTATATTTTTGGGCTTTTTCCCCAGTGAAATATGTCAGTATTTCTATGCTTCTTTATTATGCTCAGTTTGAAGTATTTTTTTAAATTAGTTAGTTACCTAATACTGACTGTGTGTAAAGATTTTTGTATTATATATGTTCTGTGTATCATAATTATCCAAAACAAAAACATATAGTGGATTGAAAAGTGATTTTATTATAAGTATTTTGTTGTTAAATCAGTTCAGTCTTTGCCTTTTTCCTCCAATGAGAATGTGTAAATTTGAAAAAATGTTCAGTCTATTTAGCATAAACAGTCGTCAAAAAAAGCGTTTTCTTTAACCATTACTCCAATATGGATAAACACTACAAGACTTAGTGCCTACAACAAGTCATTAACTAACTAGGTTTATTAACACTGAAAAAAATGATACTTGTTCAACAGCTACAGTTGTTGCTACATCACTCCTACAGAACTGGTCAGATCATTTAATTTATACTGATTACAATCTAACTATTGCATAATATTGTTTTATATTTTTGGTTTGAATGTAGGCTACTCTATAAGATATTTCCTTGTTTCTTCACACACTTATTAAGACCATAATAGGATGTTACTATCTGAGGCTCATAACTCTAGCTTAGATTTGGACAAAATTATGGTCCTTTGTGAAAAATTTCTGGTTAAAGTTTTGCAAATTGACACACTTAAACTTATCATAATTTGAGGTCACTTTGACTGAATTATGCCCCTTTGTGAAAATTCTTTGTTATAAGTTTACATGTAAAATCAATCTTGAAAGCAATGGAAAGTATTCACTTGAAACTTCACTATCTTAGAGGTAAAGATAAATTAT